AAAATATGTGGCTCTGATTTTGCGTTTTGAGAATTTCTACAAATCAGTAATGTGAACACTATACATAAACATACATAAAATTTATTCAGAAGATATATATAATGTAATCACAGTAGAAATACCTACATACATCGGCTATAAATGTGTGAATTGTACAAAAGATAGGGTACACTAACCAAAGTGGAGGATGATGTGAGAAAGTCTAGTGTATTGTTGCAGTAGTTGCACAGTTCAGTTCTGGCTTTTGTATAGGGAAGGATTCTGGGTATCTTGATGAGATGAGTGAGAAGACGAAATACTAATATCTGTGTAAGAAAAAGACTGAGTAATGTGATTGTGAATGCTCTCTGATTGTCGAGAGAGCTGGTCTGTTCAGTAGGAGACCGGTTCTGAAAGACTTACTTGGGTGTTCTAAGATGCAGTGACATAGCCATCATGAGGTTCACCCCATGCGGTATGTGGCTTGACAGCTAGGACAGGTAAATAAATAAACAGCATTAGAACACGTCTGAGCTGCATATCAGTGGCTATTTCATGAACTTTGTGATAGTATTCTCAGTGATTTTAAAGCTTCAATTACATATATATGGTAGTTTCACATATTTATGGTCTCTCATTTGAGCACACAGACGATTGGGTACAATTTTTTGTGAATATTTTTAAAATAATTTTTCAACATGAAAACGAACTAGTTACTGCACAAATTGCAGGTTCTAGTGAAGGGAGTTTTGATACTATAAATTTTGTAAATACATGGGATAAAGCTGAAGAAGTGAAGGCCAAAGTTTGGTTTTTGGTGAATGCTAGAATAGCAGATGCCATTGTTGTTGGTGATAGTGGTCTCTAAAAAGGGCAGCTGATAATGTAGGGATTTAACATCAGACGGGCATTGTTCTACCCAGTTTTGTTCATGATAACACTGAAATAGCTAGGCATAGGACGGGCCCAGTTTGGAGCCCATCTACTCGAGTTTACAGGAAATCAATAAAAGTAAAACCCGAATGATGGGCTGCGTTTTTCGTATGAAAGTGAATGGTGTCTAGGCTAATACCCATTATTTCTGTGGTTACGTGTAGGGACATGTTTGTGAACAGTGGATCCCCATCGAAATTCGGCATGGTGATGTTGGAAGGCAAGGGATATTTCTTTAGCAAAGATTGTGGAATTTTCAGCTGTATATTGATTAGTTGTTAAAGGAGAGATGGTATGAACAAGAAATTTTGCAATATTATAATTATAAGTACCAAATTTAGGAAATAATAGGTCATAGGGTATTATTTGATGTTTGGGTTGTCAAACATTGTTCCCATGGTCAAAAATATTTTTGCGCCTCATTCATCTTTTTGCCAGTGCAGGTATTATATATTATTATATATATATATATATATATATATAATATATATATATATATATATTCTCTCCCCATGCTGTAATCATTGATCCCAAACCTTTGTAAAGCTGTCTGAGCTCTAATCCGTTGGCCAAAGTATCACCTTTGTGATATGTATAGTTTTAACGCAAAGGCTAAGGAATACCCTGGTGTTCGGTACTTACATAACTGATCCTCTGCTAAAACGTAAAAGACCAGAAACTGTTCCCCATACTCCCCATTTACATTACTATACGCATTTTTTACAGTGTCCATTCAGATCCATGCGTATCTTCCATTCTTGGAATTTGTGTTCTCTTATCGCTCAGACCCATGCTTATCTTCCATTCTTGGAATTAATGTTCTCTTATCTTTCACATTACATCTCGGTCTTCTTTATTGCAGTGTAGATGCCCTGACATGCCCTCCCTGTAACAACGTCCGGTGTGCCAGTCCTGAGACTTATGACTGTCCGGACCGAGAGGTGGTGCCCAAGACATGCGGCTGCTGCTTTGAGTGCTCTAAGGTACGGTAAGGTGTGTGTGTGTGTGTGTGTGTATAATGTTCTCATTCATTCACCTTCCTTTTCCTTCTGCTCATTTTCCTTCCCAGTTCATTCACTCATTCATTCTGCTTAATTTCATTACTTCCCTTCCTTGTTCCTCCAAATTTTATACAATTTCCCCATAATCCTTCTGCAGATTCATTCTCCTCACTCCTCTCCGATCGCGTCTTCCTTCGTCACTACCTCATCCACATTCTTCTCCACTCATTTATCCTCATTCCACTCATCAACTCAATTCTCCCCCTCCATCCTCGTAATCTACTCATTCCCCCATTTGCCTCCTCCCTCATACAGCTCGAAGGGGAGCCCTGCGGAGGGAGCTTCAGCATCCTGGGCACCTGTTCCTCCCACCTGGTATGCCATCCCCCAGGGTACAGAGGTGGAACCTGCATGACCGCTGAACAAGCCGAGTGGCACAGGACTTCCAGTACTACGCCCGCTTCTAACCACGGAGGCTCAACCACCACAACCACCACGCCCCTTCCGTACTGGTTGGGATGAGGTGGACGGAGAGGAAGTTGCACGGGGTGGGCGGAGGGAAGAGGAAGTGCATGGGGGTGGGCGGAGGGAAGAGGAATGGCACGGGGTGGGCAGAGGGAAGAGGAAGTGTATAGGGTGGGGAGGGAAGAGGAATCGCAGGCAGAGGGAAAGGAATCGCACGGGGTGGGCAGAGGGAAGAGGAATCGCAGGGTGGGCAGAGGGAAGAGGAATCGCACGGGGTGGGCAGAGGGAGGAATCGCATGGGGTGGCAGAGGGAGAGGAATCGCACGGGTGGGCAGAGGGAGAGAGGAATCGCACAGGGTGGGCGGAGGGAAGAGGAATCGCACGGGTGGGCAGAGGGAAGAGGAATCGCACAGGGTGGGCAGAGGGAGAATTGGGCAGAGGAAGAGGATCGCACGGGGTGGGCGGAGGGAAGAGGAATCGCACGGGGTGGGCGGGGGAGAAGGAACTGGAAGGAAATGCAGAGGGAGGGAAGAAGGGTGGGCGAATGATGGAAATGAAGGTGAGTAAAGAATGGGGAGAAAGAATGGTGAGGTTGAGAGAAAAAGAAAAGGAAGAGAAAATCTGAGAGGAAGTTGAAAAGGAAACACACTACTTCATTTATTACAATAGACATTTATGTTTTCACTTGTGTTGTTTGTCCGAAAACATGTATGATAAATTGTTCTACTTACATGTTGAATAAATATGAAAAGGACTGTTTACTCAGTTGAAATCTTGTGATATATAGATACTTACAGACACAACACACACACACACACACACACACACACACACACACACACACACACACACATATATATATATATATATATATATATATATATATATATATATATTTAAATATAATGTAGTAAAAAGAAATTTTCATGCTTTCAAATTTCAACTTTATCATATTGGTTCTAATAAATTTTTACTGTTGTCATGTAAGTGTTTTTCATATGCCAATTTCAATTAAAGTAGGCCTATTATTACTGTACCATTAAATCCCAGCGGTATTGATATCTTTCAGTCTGATTGTCCTTTCAAAATAACTTTAGTAGTGCTGCCTCCATCTGGGTTTTGATTTAAACAAGGAGGCACCCCGAACCCCCCCCCCCTAATCACAATCTCGGTAGCATAACCCGCCGGTCTTTAAGGCTCGTGGGTGTGGGAATTATTCATTCCTTAGTTAAGTGTGTGCCAAATTTTGACAATCGTGGAAACATTTGTAACCCTTAATATTTTATTCAATAACTAAATGAACAAATGGCATACCATCTATAAATCTTAACAATAAACATGATAATCTAAAGTAATATTCTCAAATAATGCAATTCATATCTGAGGTTAATTCTATATACCCTCCCTTTTCCTATTAATTAGAAATCAATGACATTTTAATAAACATAATAAAAATATACATAAGACAAAATCGAGACCCTTACACCCAGTCTAACCATGTTCTTTCCATGGTTTACCTAGGACGTGAGCCGATCATTTCCCTCCCTTTCATCTTACAATTTTATTCTCTACACTTCCCTCTAATAAGTAATATTCTTCTCAATCTATTCACTGATACCACCGGAACTCTCACCTACGACTACTTCCGTAGTGTATCCACAGACCAGTAAAATAACTAACTAAATAACAAAATATGCCCCCTAGCAACAAGGCATTAGACACAGCACCATGGCGATAGTTCTGGCTGCATTCTCCGTGATCTCTCATTTAACAGGGAGAAAGCTTTGGCCAGGATTCGTCTCAGTTATCACAAATCAATGCAAAGAGAATTAACAATTACATGAATAAACTTATCAAGCATTGCAATCTATTATATGAGGGTATAAATGTGTTTTTAAGTACTAACACTCACCTTACCTGTTCATAGGATTCGTCTGACGAGAAAACGTTAAAATTACGATCTCTGCTTTCCCCCAAATGAATTGCTAGCATTTAAACATACAAACCATTTATGAAGGAGTATTATAATTTACTCTATTTGTTATAACCCTAAATTTTGCTATATTGATAGGTCTTTAGATTTACGAAAATATATAAACAAATGTTTCAGTGACAAACGTACATCTTTCAAATCAGAAATAGATCACCTTTCAAATGTTGCATAAATAATGATCTCGATATATATATATATATATATATATATATATATATATATATATATATATATATATATATATATATATATATATATTATATAAACGCATATATATGTATACACATATATATACATACATACATACATACATACATACATACATATATATATATATATATATATATATATATATATATGTATATATATGTATTTATACATACATATATACATACATATACATAAATACATATACATATCCATATAAAAACACACAAATACACACACACACACACACATACTATATATATATATATTATATATATATATATATTATATATATATATATATATATATATTATATATACATACATTTATATAATATATATATATACACACACACACACACACACATAAATGTATAAACATGCACACTCCCCGGATGCACAAACCAAGCAAGCCAGTCCCCAACATTCTTCCATACTTCGTCTATGTCTTCCGTCACTTGTTATCTTAAACCTTTACTCCCTTCGTCTAAAAATATATAAAAGACGTTGCCTGTGAGCGACTCTCAGACAGGCAGAATTCAGATGTCCAACGAGACAGACAGAACATCACTTCCTTCACGGGCGAACCGCTGGCCGGGAAATGCATCTCGCTCACCAATAAACTATCAAGATTACCAACTATCGCTCAGACTTACCAATCGGTCGCCCTCTTCTTCTTTAGCTTAATCCCGTCTTGTTACGGGGTGCACACACACACACACACACACACACACAACACACACACACACACACACACACACACACACACACACACACATATATTATATATATATATATATATATATATATATATATAATATATATATACATATATATATATATATATATATATATATATATATATATATATATTATATATATATATATATTGTGCGTGTGGGTTTGTGTGATGGGGTAATTGTGCACGCGCGTGTGTATGTGTGGTAAAGGCTTTACATAAACCACGTACAAAATTTAGTTTAGCTGAAATATGAGTGACCCTGCAGAGACTAATCACTATCACAAGATGCCGTCATTACCGCAATGATCATTAGCAGCATTTCCATAAGCAATGTAGATTTAATGATGGAAATACAAACATATGCGTTCCCACTAATGTTCTATTATCAACTATCTTACGCATTCCGCAGTAGGATTAAATGCCTGATTTTCTAGTAAGAAAATAAATACAGGAATCCAGCAAGTTATATAAGGCTGTCTGGAAATACAGATTAGACACGTAAGGAAAGCAGCTCCATAATATCTATCTAATGAAAAATATCCTAAATTGATATCACACCATATAAAACTACCTTTGCAGGAGCCAATAAATTTATATTCACTGCGCATAATAGGTTAGTTTTCCCTAAATACAAAATATCTCAACAAACTCTGTATGAACAGCAGATGGAATGAAAGAAAATGTTTATTAGAGGGGTAACTATTATTTTAAAGGATCAAGACGAGGAAGTGTCACGTGTCATATATAGTATAGGCCCATCGTGCTACTCTCCAGATATATATTAATGGATGAGTTCAGTCTCCCAAGAAACATCCCATCTCAATCTAAATTTATGATGTGCAGACAACACACACACACCACACACACACACACACACACACACACACACACACACACATACATACACACACACACACACACACACATATATATATATATATATATATATATATATATATATATATATACGTTATCTATTTCTATCTCTCTATCTATAAATATACATATTTATACATACATATATGTGTATACATATATATATATTATATATATATATATATATATATATACATATACATACACATATACATCCTACATGAGCCTATTTATCTGTGTATCTATAGATATGTATACATATACACATATACATAGAAATATATACATGTATATATATATATATATATATATATATATATATATATATAATATATATATATATATATATATATATATATATATATATATATATATATATATATATATATATATATGGGTGGGTGCTTCATGCGCAGGGTGGTGTGAAGCGATGGAGTGGTAGTCTAGTTAGTGTTAAGAGCTTGTGCATGCCTTCTCGCTTACAGCTGCCACCGCTGGCTAGCCTCGTGCGAAAAAGGGAGCAGCTCTGCATAAGCCTCCCCCTGCCAGTGCATAGCCTCTCCATCATCGAGACTCCCTGCAGTGCCTCCTCGTGGCCGCCCATGAAAACTGGGTACCTTGCGGTTCCAGGCTAAACTGAGGGGGATCTCGGAGCAGCAGGAGGCCCCAGAGGTTCAGGGCCATGGCCCACCGGCGTGTGGACACGCCCTGGCCCTGTACCAACTCCTGCCCCCTAGCCCCCTGGGGTTAATTTAATATAAATTTATTATATATAAATATAAATTTATTGAATATAAATTTATTGGCTCCGGGGAGGTGGGCCTTGCCAGTCCTCCTCCCCCCAGATATAAACCAATCGGCAGTGCAAATTATAAATGGAGGGGAAAAGCCCCTCCCACCCAGCTAGTGAGGCGGACTGTGGGCCCTGCTGGGAGGGCGACTGCTGGAGCGCAGGCTGGGAACGGGAACTACCCGTCTCGCCTGCGCTCTGGTGGCCGCCAGCCCAGAGTGAAGCTTGTGGGGGAAAGCCCTCAGGAACCCCACAGGTGGATGATGGGTCACGCAGCCCGCCACCCCCTTTTATATGGGGCAGCGTCGGTGGGAGTGGCAGAGGTGGCATCCACCCGGAGTGACTGCCAGAGGCTGAACCTCAGGCGGGAAGTTAGGGTGGGGGCTTGGAACGTCCGTTCTTTACGTCAGGATGATCGGTTGCCTCTACTGTCGAGGGAACTGGGGAGGCTGAGAGTTGAGGTGGCTGCTCTCTCGGAGGTGAGGAGGCCTGGCAGCGGCATGACCTGTGTAGGT